TTACATTTCCTCAAAAAAAATCAGTCGAATCAATAGAAATCGAATAGAAAATCTGAAAACCACACAATACGAAACCCGAGGACAATTTATAAACAGCATCAATATGTTAATGCGTTGTACAGAAGTCAGAGCCAGAAAAAACGAACGCGGACAGACATTATAAACTAATGAACGGGTGGATAGACAGAGGGACAGACAGACATCGAACCGCCACTTTTAGTCTACATTACGATTTTGACCCCATACAAAGGTTTGGCGTTTAATTTCCCTATGAATCTTTTTGGTTTTTTGTTCGGTGTTTTTTTTTATTGTTGTGACGTGTTAGTTGTTTTTTTTTGTCCCGTTTTTTATTGTATTGTATACAAATTTGAGGTGACATTGCACAGTGGGAAAAAACTACAAAATTGTGGATCAGATTAAAAAGCGTAGTTTTTTTAAATTATTTTTATAAGCTTGGATTTAAAAAAATAACAACTACTGTAAGCACGAATTTTTTTATTTTAGTTTTTAAAAATATTTTTTATAAGCGTGGATTTTTCAGAAATGTGGGATAAACATCTACAAAATTTTGGATCAGATTAAAAAGCGTTGATTTTTTTTAATTATTTTTTATATGCGTGGATTTAAAAAAAGTTAACAACTACTTTAAACACGATTTTTTGTAAAAATATTTTTTAAACTCTATTATAGCCCTGGATTTTTTATAAATGTAAAAAATTAAATTTTTCATGCACTATTATTACGTGGATTTTTTATTTTTTATATTTTTTTATTTTAGTTTCTAAAAAAAATGTTTACAAGCGTGGATTTTTCAAAAATATTTTTTTCATATTTTGTTTTTTTTCATACACCTTCAAATGAATTCATCCCATTGTGCATTACGTTTTTCTTTATTTTTTTGTTGCCCTTTTGTACTACAATTTCCAACACATCAATAGCATTCGTCTTCGTACAAAAAAAGAAAATATAAACGGGTTGTTAGCATTTTCAATATTATGTCGATATTTATTGTTTGTCATCCACATCATATAATTTTCTCCGTCTTCGTGTTTTTTTCTTCCAATATTGAAATTTTCCCCCCAATTCTTATTGTATTCGGTTTATTGTTTGCATGATGTTGTTTTTGTTGTATTCCACACACACTAAATGAATGTTTATTTTAATAATGCATTTCGAGACATTCTTAAGATATTTGAATTTAGTCAGTATAGCTCCTGATGTTGTTGCTGCTGCCGCTTTTACACCTCAAACCCTAGAACACTTGACTTGTGTCACATGTGTCAATGACAATTAATGTTCGTGCGGTGGACATTGTGGTGATTGAAGGTGTTTCAATATTCGATGAAAAAATTTAAAATTAGAAAAAACCATAGAAATCTAAACGACAAGTGTCTTGGCTATGCTTTTTCCAGTATAAACAAATTAGCTCCTTCTATTTGTTTGTGTATGTATAGGGACGCCGGTAGTTTCTTTTGACACTTTAAATTGTCATCTTTTTTGTTTATTTACTTTAATATTTAGCGGATATAAATAAATTTCAAAAAAATTGAAATAAATTCAAACGTTTAAAAAATTAAAGACCACCGAATTATTAGTTAACCAAAATAATGTTAAATTATTATTATTTTGGTTAACTAATAACTATTAAAAAATATTGTCCACAATCACGAGTCTAAAGGACTCGAAACCTCGAAACCTACTCGAAAAATATTTTTTAATAAATCCAGTAAATATAATTATTTTAATAAATTTTAAATAATATTTTTTAATAAATCCACTATATGAGGCGTGGATTTTTTAAATAATATTTTTCTGGGACTATAGGAGGCGTGGATTTTTATACCCTTCACCACACTTTGATACAGGGTATTATGTCTTTGTACATATATTTGTAACAGGCAAAATGAAACGAGATAGACCCATGGTTCCTTTTTAAAATATGCATAGAATCACCTTCTGAGTCCGTCCGTCCTTCCGCCTGTCCGTCTGTTGATGTTAAATTTTAAACAAAGTGCAGGTCGCATTTTTCATCCGATTTCGATGAAATTTGGTAGATCTCATTTATTTGGCCCAAGTACGAACCCTATTGAAATTGGGGAAAATCGGTTCAGATTTAGATATAGCTCCCATATATAATATCGTCCGATTTAAGGTAAATGGTGCACCACAGTCCCTATATGTCTTTCGATATGCACGAAATTTGGCACAGTGTATTGAATTAAGTATGGAATGATGTGTGTAAAGTTTCGTGGAAATCGGTTCAGATTTAGATGTAGCTCCTATATATACTTATGTCCGATTTAAGGTAAATGGTGCACCAAAATCCCTATATATCTTTCGATCTGCACGAAATTTGGCACAGGATACTGAATTAGGTATAGAATGGTGTGTGCTAAGTTTCGTTGAAATCTGTTCAGCTTTAGATATACCGATTTAAGGTAAATGGTGCAAATATCTTTCAATATGCACGAAATTTGGTACAGTGTACTGAATTGGGTCTATATAGATGTGTACTAAGTTCCGTCAAAATCGGTTCAGATTTAGATATAGCTCCCATATATATTTGCACGATTTGCACAAAATTTGGCACAGGGTACTGAATTAGGTATAGAATGGTGTGTGTTAGTTTCGTGGAAATCGGCTCAGATTTAGATATCGCTCTCATATATATTTTCGTTCGATTTAATGCAAATGGTGCACCAAAGTCCCTATATATCGTTCCATATGCACGAAATATGGCATAGCGGACTGAATTGAGTCTATATGGATGTGTGCATAGTTTCGTGGAAATCGGTTCAGATTTAGATATAGATCCCATATGTATTTACGTCCGATTTAAGGTAAATGGTGCGCCAAAATCCCTAAATATCTTTCGTTCAATTTCATGTCAAACCCAAAGTGGTGAAAGGTATTTTTTCGACTATAGGAGGCGTGGATATTTTAAATAATATTTTTTCAGGACCCAGTCCGACTATTAGGCGTGGATTTCTTAAAAAATATTTTCCTTACTGGTTTAAATAATATTTTTTCAGCGACTATAGGAGGCGTGGATATTTTAAATAAAATTTTTTCAGCGACTATAGGAGGCGTGAATTTTTAAATAATATTTTTTCAGCGACTATAGGAGGCGTGGATAGTCTAAATAATATTTTTTCAGCGACTATAGGAGGCGTGGATATTTTAAATAATATTTTTTCAGCGACTATAGGAGGCGTGGATATTTTAAATAATATTTTTTCAGCGACTATAGGAGGCGTGGATAGTCTAAATAATATTTTTTCAGCGACTATAGGAGGCGTGATTGTTTTAAATAAGAATTTTTCGAATTAAATAATATTTTTCGAATTAAATAATAATTGTTCGAGATCTCGAATTGCATTATTCTAAAATTAGAAAAAAATATTTTTCAAAATCCACGCCTCAAAAAATTGTTTATAATCAATGACTCCATTTTTGTTTTTAATCCAAGCCTCAACTCGGTCTATTAATAATTTCAAAGGCCTCACAAAAATTATTAATAAATATCACATTAAGTTTTTTTCACGAAAAGATTTTTTTTTCAATGCTGCAAGGCCTGTCAGCATCTGGCAAACAAATCATTTAAAAATCCACTCTAGTGGCTCTTACCGGACATTACAAAAATTATTTAAAAAATAACAATTATAACTAATTCAGGTCTGTAATTTGTTTTAAACCACAATTTTTGATATTTGAGATCCTCCTTCAGGTTCTGGTTCCAATGCCTGGCAAAAATTATTTCAAAATCCACGTATATAAATCTTCTAAGACCTGGAGAAATAAATTAAAAAATCGAAGAACGTCCAAGGCACGATCTTCCAAAATCCACGCTTATAGACCTCCTACAAATTGTCCGAGGCCTGGCAAAAATTATTTAAAACATCCTCGTTTATAGATCTCCTACAGATCGTCCAAGGCCTGGCAACAATTATTTTAAAAATCCTCGTTTTTAGATCTCCATCCGAGGCCTGCAAAACATTTTTAAAAAGTCCTCGCTTATAACCCCTCCAGTGAAAATATTATTTAAAGAATCTACGCTTATGTGTCTTTACGGTATGCCTAAAATTATTTAAAATCTCCACGCTTATAGATCTATCAGGGTCTGGCTAAACTTATTTAAAATCTCCACGCATATAGATCTATCAGGTCTGCCTAATTTTTTTTTTAACCTCCACGCTTATAGATCTATCAGGGTCTTGCAAAAAATATTTAAAATCTCCACGCTTATAGATCTATAAGGGTATGGCTAAAATTATTTAAAATCTCCACGCTTATAGAGCTATCAGGGTCTGGCTAAAATTATTTAAAATCTCCACGCTTATAGATCTATCAGGGTCTGGCAAAATTTATTTAAAAAATCCACGCTTATAGATCTACCAAGATCTTGTAAAAATTGTTTAAAAAGCCCATGCTAATGGCTCTTTCAGGCTTTGGTGAACCTTGAAAAATATTATTTTTAGATCAACTATCTTTGACAGTCTCTGAGCACACTCTAATACGGTCGTGTGCATAGAGCACTACCTTTTCTAAACCACTTAAGCCCTATAAACAAACTTTTCGAAGAGATTTTTCAAATTTACCTGATTACATTAGCCAGCCATGCGACTACCATTGGTCAATGCGCAATCGCTATCTCACTCTCTGCTATTGTTTGTTGGTTTGAGGGTTCGAAGATCAATTAGGTAACGAAATGAAAGAGTCTGGCAATTTCACTTTCACTCGGATTAATCCAGAATAAAATACTCTCGGATCAGGTATAGACAACGACTCCGACGACGATGATAATGAGTAACCTGTTTATGAAGATCAGGTAGGCGAACGAACAACCAAACAAAAATAAACAGAAAACTTATATTCGAATTGAAGAAACAAGAAAACATTTTTAGTTTAACTGCTGGAACGTGAGCACCACCGCTAGTCGCCGTACCGAGATTTGTTGTCGTCGCTGTGTAGTAAATCGTCCAAGCAACGTTCATTACGCAATGTTTGATAAAACTGCTCGAACAAATGGCATTTATTGGATTAATTTGCTTGTGACAATTCTGTTGTTCCCAATCTTATTGTGGGTCAGTGTCATCAGATGGCTGTTCGACCGGAATCCAGAGACGGAAGTTAAAGGAGAAGTGGCTGTAATTACGGGTGGAGCTCAAGGTTTGGGACGTAAGTTGGCCATAGAATTTGCCCGTAGGGGTTGTCACATAGCCGTTGTTGACATTCTCGAAGAGAAGGCCCAAGAAACCGCCGAGTACTTGAAGAAAACATTCAAAATTAAAAGCAAAGCTTACAGGGTAAATATGGATGGAGGTTTCTGGAAGTTCTTCATTTAATAGCTTTGTCTTCACTTTTGTAGGTTGACATTACAAATCACCAAAAATTGGTAGAATTCCATTCTCAAGTTACCCGTGATTTTGGTGATATAACAATTGTTGTAAACAATGCTGGCATTGTCTATTTCTCGGATAGTGCACCACGCGACTTTGATGAAATTCAAAAAATCATTACCGTTAATTTCACCTCTCAGGTGTGGATAAATCAATTGTTTTTGCCACGCATGAAGGTATTGAACCGTGGCCACATTATGTCTATCAGTTCACTGGGTGCTCTCTTCAATACTGCCCAATTGCAAATATATGGTCCAGCCAAGAGTGCAGTACGTGCATATATGTCATCGTTGCGTATGGATTTAAATGAATATTCGGGAATTAATGTAACTACTATTATGCCCACCTATATGACAACACATCAACCGACGGAACAGATTGTCAATTCAAATGGTCTTGGAAAATTTCTACCAGTATTGGATGGTGATTATGTGGCACAAGAGGCTGTGAAGGCTCTGCTGCAGGGTGTTGATGAGATGACCCTACCCCGCCAATGTATTTATGGATTCAAATTGCAAGAGTAAGTGTGATAGAATAATTATATTGTATTTATTTTAAGGATGTTTAGATTCCTGCTTTGAAAATAGTTAGTTGAAGGTCTTGTAGTCCTTCAAAAATAATATTTAAAAAATTCACGCTTTGAAGGTCTTGTATTCCTCCAAAAATAATATTTAAAAAATCCACGCTTATAGGCCTTGTATTCCACAAAAACTAGTTTTTAAAAAATCCACGCTTATAGGCATTGTAGTCCTCCAAAAAATAATTTTTAAAAATATCCACACTTACAGGCCTAGTAGTCCTCCAAAAATAATTTTTAAAAAATCTACACTTACAGGCGTTGTTGTCCTGCAAAAATATTTTTTTTAAAATTCCACGTAGTCCTATAAAAATAAATCCACACTTAACTATTTCAGGATCTTACAAAAGTTCTTAATTATAGCTCTTCCAGGGTCTCACAAAGAAATCCTCAGGACCTTACAAAAGTTCTTAAAAGCAATAACTATTTGTTTCAAACTTTGTACTGCGTAATATTTATACGAAACCGATATCATGCGAGAAAAATGGTGGCTATCAGTACATTTCACTCCCACATGTTTATATTTGTTCTATAACCTGGATTAAGGCTGACGATAATATCCATTGGTTCCATATTTATATTCTGGCATTTTAATTATTTATTTTTTATTAAACACATTTCTCATATTTTATTACTTTTTTCTTTTACAGGTTCTTGTCCGCATGGATGCGTGATAAAATTCTGTTGTTCCTGCATCCCAAGATAGATCTAAATGCCCAGCAGAGCAAATCGAAATAATAGATATATTTAAACATGTATAGTACAAATATTTTATTTAAATATTAATAATAAATGTTGCATTTTTATTGTAAATATACTTAAGTAAAACTTAAGGTTTTTTAATGTTCGAAAAAAAGTAGCATCAGGTTTTAGCTTCTAAACTCAGGTCCCAACAGTTTGACATTTCGATTTATGCGCCTTTAGCGTATCCCCGTAATGTCTGAAGTCCGTCTGTGTCCTTATCTGAACCCGAAATTAAAAATCACAAGAGAAAAGTTGTTGACAATATGTATTTCAGATTAGGTTATCATAGACCTTGAATTGGCGGCTTCCCAAGAATCAGTTCTTCAAGATTGCCTTAATATTTTTGTAGAAAATATCTCAAGGCCCCAGTCAAGAGTTGTTTGCCTGAACAAGGGTGCAATATTTTTCTGAAGTATATTATTTGTAATAAAAACCCTTCCCAATTTATCATTTCTGCAGAAGACATACTAAGCGAATTATTTCTCCATAATGGGATCTTCTAATTCAAAAGATTTATCTTATCATATAGAATATTTAAAAGAGATATTTTATCTGCAGAAGCCCTTACACCCAATTTAATCAAATAAATGTTCATTAGAAAATTATATAGCAAAGTCGTATCTTCATTTCTCTCTACAAAAGAGTTTTGAAGGTTGTGCAATCCATACAGGGCCTCTTAAGACCAACATAATCGTTTTCTATCCATAAAAATCAATGTGTAGAAGGCCTGCAAACGGTCTGATTTAATAGAAGGCCACACAAAAGGCACTTCAGTTCAAAATTATGACACACATCCACAGTTAAATACCACAAAACCATAATATTAATATCCAACTATTCTACAAATTAAATATTACAAATTAATATTCCTAATTTTGGAACAGGATTTTTATATAATAAAAACGATTTTTGTAAAAGTTTTAGTCCATCGACTGCCAAACCACTTGGGTCACATATTTATACCCTTCACAACACTGTGGAACAGCCAAAAGGAATCGAGAAAGACCCATGGTTTCTCTTGAGAATATGCATAGAATCACTTTCTGAGTCGATTTATGAATGTCTGTCCGTCTGTTGATGTTAAATTGTAACATCAAAGTATAGGTAGCATTTATGATCCGATTTGGATGAAATTTGGCATAGGTCACGGCTCAGATTCATATATAGCTCCCATATATAGTTTCTTCCGATTTTATGTAAATGGTGCAGCAAAGTCCCTACATATATATATATATATATATACTGTCAATATTTGTCCGATCGGCTCACAATTTTGCTCAGCGTACTGAATTAGGTCCTAATTTATGTATGCAAAGTTTTGTTCGGAACTGCTCAAATTTAGATATAGCTCCCATAAATGGAGCAACGTACAAACAATATTTATCCGATTGAGACAAAATTTCACACAATGAATTAGGTCCAGATTGATGTATGCAAAGTATACGTGATGTATGCGGAGTCTTCAGATTTAGATATAGCTCCCATGTACAGTTTCGTCCAATTTTATGTAAATGATGCACCATTCTGTCAATGTTTTTTCCGATTAAGACAAGATTTTGAACAGCATCCTGTAATTACTACAGGTAAACATCCGCGAAATGTTGTTGAAATCGGTTCAGATTTAGATATAGGTGCCATATATAGTTTCGTCCGATTTTATGTAAGTAGTCAATAAGTCAATATTTTCCGATTGAGACAAAATTGAAGTAATTTTCATTTACTACAGGTAGACATCAGCGAAATTTTGTTGAAATCGGTTCAGATTTAGATATAGCTCCCTCTTATATTTTTGTCCGGTTTTATGCAAATGGTGCAAATGGAGGAGCCTATGTCATGAAATTTAGCATAGAGTATTGGAATGAAGAGGTTATAGGTTTTGATATAGCTTCCATATATATTTTCATCCGATTTTATCAAAATGATGTACCAAGTATCTAAAGTTTATCCGAATTAGTGCATATCGTACCAAATCGAACCTACAATAACGTGTATTGGATTTTGTGTCGAGATAAATTTTGGATAGCGCACTGTGTTGCAGCGTACCGAATGGTGGATGCCACTATTTCTCAAATACGTCCATTTATATATAGATCTTAAACATATCTTGTTCGATGACTGACATTAAATTTTTCATAATATTTCAGATTATAATATCAGATTTGTATGGGATGTTTTAATTTAGTTCAAATATCTATGAACTTCACGCAGTTAATTTCGTTCGATTTCATTTCAAAGGCCTTCCAAAGATGCTATGTCTATTCTATATAAAGGATATTGTACATATGAGCATCTCGTGTATGTACCCAAAGTGGTGAAGGGTTTCATATAGTCGGACCCGTTCGACTTTTGAACTATGCACCTAAGTGTTTTCACATTCAAAATAGATCGGCACAAATATTTTTGGAGCAATGCGTGGTAAATTGTTATCAAAATAATAATCTAAAGATATTCAGGTTGTAAAATTGGGCTAGGACCTTGAACATGACAAAAATGACACCAGACCATTTTATGGGAAAGGCATGCACTTACATTGAATATGTTCGACAAAGAAGTTGTTTACTGTACTCAGTATGCAAAATAACAACCACTTCCTAACCAGCATATGACTCTATAACTACATGTTATCCGATATTGATCATTATTGGTAGGAAGATTTTCCACCCAATTTCTATATTTAGAGGTGTTGTTTAATATGGCTGAATGTATAAATATACTGTAAATTATTAAAATTACATTAGGACAATTTTTGATTATTTTTTTCCGAAGCCGAGCTGCTCTGTTTCTTTCCAATACATTGACTCCGACTCCACACTTTATGTTGTGTTTCCCACACGTCCTTCCTAATGTGACAAGTCTACTACCATTTAATGTTTTGTTTTGCAGAAATATATTCCCTATGTGTAATTTTGTTCGACCGAGTCGAATATTACGACCCTTAATATTCAAAACATAAATTATAAAATCTAATAAACAAAATCTTACAATGTCTCATAGCGCCCACCAGCAGAGTTCAAATATAAATGTTCAAACCATCAGCATTACAATAAAAACCCCCATTAATTTTCTCAACGACTGACACTTGTTCCAATTGCTGCTACTTTCGATTCTGTCGAGTTTTCATTTCCTTAACTCCCCCACAGAGACCGACCGATCTACTCGGCAACATGTAGAACTTCGTTCAAATCATCATCATCACCATCAAACGAAACACCTGTTTTGATGAACCCTTTTTTCCTCCTGTTTTATTATTACGACTATTATGATTGAAAAACACTTGTACCGACAATTTTCCAAAAAGAAAATGTTACCCATTAAAATAAATCGAACCGATTTCGTTAGCAATGAGAAAACATTTCACAATTGTGCTGAAAATTTCCAGGCGTATAAACAAATATTTGAAGAAACTCAATCCACACTGAATGCAATAACAAAAACAACATCAACACCAATAACAACAACAAATGACGACTAAACAATTCATTGGGGAAGGTTTATTGTTAAGAAGCTGTTTCGGAGTTTCATTTTTTACCCCACCTAAGGGGTAATGAAATGAAAATGCACTGCGTCAGCACTAAGCCGCAATAAAGGAAAATTGGAATTATTGGTATTGTTTTTGTTGTTGTCGTATAAAAATAAATACACGGAAAATGTGCTCTTGCGTTTGTTTTTTAAGACTTCGTTATGTTTTTTATGACGATGTGATGCAAATGTCGTGGATTTGTAAGCGGGAACGGTGAAGGACAGACATGTGATTTGTTTTAGTTGGGTTATACAAAGTATGTTGGGTGTTGTTGTAGATGTAGTGTTCAACGCTGCACCATAATTTGTCTATGTTTTGTTTATATTTTTGAATTTGGGGTCAACTACATCTATTCAGTATTGAATATCATAGTACTTTATTGCAAAGGGTTGTGTGCACAGTGGTGAGTTACTATAAAAATGTTACATTGTATAAACATATTGGTGTTAACCGATCGACCAGAAGATTTTAACCCATCGACCAGAAGGAAGGGTTTAATAATAAATAAATAAATTTAATAGTAAATGTCTAAGGTGGCGTAGGGGATGATAGATACCAAGCAACGGCTCCGATTGGCTTTAACATGTCGAAGCCCAGGCTTATCTTGGTCCCTCTTTCATCTCAATTGTGGACACTGACCTCCCCGCGGTGCCACCTGGGGAGCTATTTCCCTTCACCCGATGAAATAGTGAGCTAATATGTGCCGCGAGTTCACCCATAAGAACTATAAAAAATGGGATGGGGCGTCGGGTTAGTTGCCCACTCTCAGAAAACCCAACCTACTATGAAAAAGCAAAGAAAAAGAAAACCAAACCCCCCTAATGTTGACTACCCCCGCAAACGTATAAAGGACCACGATCTGCGAATCTGCACTTGGAATGTGGGCACGTTGTACAGAACAGGGGCAGTGTTCGCTTTGGCGGATATACTCAAGAAGTACAAAGCCGATATTATTGCCTTACAGGAAATGCGATGGAAAGGGACAGGCGTAAGTAAATCAGACGATTACGACGTGTATTATAGCTGCCATGAAACGAGACATGAATTTGGCTGCGGATTTATGGTTAACAGGAGAATAAAAGACCTTGTCTCCAGATTCACTCCAGTAGATGAGCGAATTGCTATAATCCGTATAAAAGAGAAGTTCTTTTACATCAGTCTAATTTGCGCCCATGCTCCGGCCGAAGATAAAGATGAACAGACCAAAGACATATTTTACGAGCGCCTAGAAACAGCATATGACCGTTGCCCTGGCCATGACATTAAAATTCTGCTAGGAGGTTTTAATGCAAAAATCGGAAGAGAAAATATCGTTGGCCCCACCGTCGGAAAATTCAGCCTTCATGAAGAAACATCCGACAATGGCATGAGGTGCAAAAAACATGGTAGTTAGCAGCACCAGATTCAAGCATCTCGATATACACAAGGCCACCTGGATTTCTCCTGATCAAGTAACGATAAATCAAATTGATCA